GATTCCACATCATGCATTCACTTCACTTCAAGATCAACACTACAGGACAAGCGCCGCATCTGACGGCAGAATCAGACCTTTGTCCTGAAGCCACGCTATTAAACTCAAATGCCATAACACAATAAAAGCTACGTTCATTCAGCTATCTCGATGTTCAGTTATATGCATAAGCTTTTTAGGTGTCAAGAGTCTTTACACATCGGTTGAAAGCTTTCGTTATGTATCAGTGACTTGTTTCGTTCGGACCTGACCGTATACATTGGTTGTACCGGCTTGGACACTCACAATAAACGATGCAAACCTTACTTGATTGACGTTGTTTTTGCCAGTCGAGGCCAGCTAGGTCACCTGGCAATAATTACAGACGCGAAACCCGATTTAGCAACGAAAAAAAAAATACCAGAGGAAGCGAGCAGCGCGAAGCAGCCGCGAGCCCCCCACTTGCAGCAAAAAAAATGCGTCTCTTCATTGATGATGATAGTACTACCAGCGCCATTTCGCCTCGCGGTATTGTAGTTCAGTACGCCGCCGCTACGTATTTGCATGTTATTTTAATACAACAGCCGAAAAGTACAGTTTCCGTTGTCTAAACTAATAGGTGTTCTGTGACGTGGCTGCCTTTTAAACTTCCTGGAATGTCATTTGGGTGTTGTTTGTAGAAAGATTTTTAAAAAAATACCGCTCCTTCTTTGTATACTAAATTTGGTCTACATGTATAGTAAAAGTTTTTTTGTAAGGTGTTTGAAGCTCAGTAATATTAGTGTAATTTTTCTGGCACATACCCCACCAAGAATTTAGCCAAATTGTGTTATGTCAGCATTTTTTCTATTAGAGTACTTTACTTTGTATTAATATCTGAGTTGTGAATATTAACTCTACAGGAGATATATTTTGAGGAAAAAACATTTTTAAAGGTCTCAACCTGCTAAACTATACGGGGAAAAATCGCAACTTTTGCAAAATCGTCATTTTTCTCCATGTTGAGACGCAATTTGCACCATGTGTTGGTCCAACTAAAAATCATCCTTATACTTAAATCAAAAGCACATAAGGAGTTTTTTCATATGGCAAATCTTATCATTACATTTCTTGTTTTGAGGAAGAAAATAATTTTTTGAACTTTCCGATTGACAGCAATGGGGAATTTTGAAGTGGCAGCTGTCGTATGACCAAATGGGATGATAGGCGTCAATGGGGAAGTTAAAATTATTTTCTTCCCTTGCACTAATATTACTGAGCCTCAAAGACCTCAAGCAAAAGTGTTTACTTAATATGTAGACCTAATTTGACATAGAAAGAAGAAATGGTACTTTTAAAGTAAGTTTTTTCACAAAAAACACCCAAATGACATTCCGGGAAGTTCAGAGGCAGTCACGTGGCTAAAAATTTTTTATATTGGAAATATTCTAGCAGTTCTCCGTTTTCAGTGCAGTAAATGAGCACGATTTTTTTCTAATACACTTGAGATGGTCGCCAAAATGGCTGCGACATCTGGCGGGGAATGACCCTATAATAGTTTCTCGCAGAAGCCTACACGTCGAGATGGGAGCCACAAGAGAACAAGAGAGCCCGTAGAAACAATGACATCTCCATGTCGACGATCGCCAATAGACTTTTGTGCTCACTGCGACGATGATAACTAAGTGCGGGCTATCATGCGTGCCATGAGGGCATGGTTGACGGCATTTTGAGCATACGAAGCGGAAGATGGTTGGTCAGATGAAAGCAAAGTGTCCAAACGCAGTAAGGAATGATGCCCGAAGAGTAGATAAAATAGTGAGTAGCCGGCTGCTTCATGACGCAACGAGCTGTAGGCGAAGGTGGCAAACGGCAGAGCTATGTTCTAATCAGTGTCTTCGCTATATGTACATAGAAAGCATGTCCGTCAATGTGTGATTGGGGCGCTACATAAGGCTTTTAGTCTGAGGGTGGTAAGATGTGGTGAAGTTGTGACGGGTAGCACAAGATCGAAGCAGATCATCAAGCACACAAGATATAAAGCAGCGACCACGGTCCGTGAGCGTTTGAGATGGAGTGCCATGCTGGGGAATCATGTCGTAGAGCAGGAAGTCGGCAAAGTCTGTCGCGCAGCTGGTTGGTAGTGCTTGAGTAATTGCATACCAAGTAGCATAATTTGTGGCTACTGCAATCCATTTATTCCCAGTTGTTGAAGTAGGAAAGGGACCTAGAAAGTCCAACCTCACTCGATAAAACAGCTCAGCTGGAACTTCTGAAGGAGACCTAGCAGGGAGAGTCATAGGCTTCTTTCGACGCTGGCAGAAGTCCCAAGATTCAACATAACAGCGAACGGAGCGATAAAAACCCTTCCAGAATACCCACTGTCGGACACGGTCGTAGGTTCTGAAGGCACCTAAAGGACTAGCTCGCTGGATTCCGTGCCGACCGGTTGTGCCCTCGCGATCTCCGACGTCAGCGTAGCTCTGGCCGACTGGGCTCACCCTACGTCATCTCCTGACGCCGACCTCAGATGATAGTGTATCTATGACCGACTGGACTTGCTCTACGCCACCTCCTGATGCCGACAAGAGCTCTCGCAAGTGGTGCACCGTCCTTGGACTGCTGTGACCGTGTTTCCATCTTTCATATCTCTCCTATCCCCTCGATATGTCGTTCTCTGGCTTACCACCTCATGCCTCTTTCTCTCTCTCTCTACACCTTTAATTCTTTCCTTTTAATCCCTCCTCACCCCCATCCCTTGTGAGCTACTGTTGAGGTGTCGCTCGCTGAAGCAGACAGTTACGGGGCTCACTTTTCTCTTCCTCTCTCTTTTAGAACCACTTTGTGTGTGGCACCTAAATGTCCACTAGTTGGAGCGTCGTGAAATTGTTTCAGAACATCCTTGTGTAGATGATGTAGAACGGCGAGTAAAAGTCCTGCGCCGTTGGGGTGTAAGTTGCGGTGCGGTGGCACAAAGCGCTGTCTTGAAGTAGGAATCTGCCAAGTGAAGGGTCAGTATGGCCCAATTGAGGGTAGCCAATGATGGAGAGCAGCGATGGATCTTGGCGCTGTTTGTCTGCCACATGCCAAGACGCAAGCATCGGATTATAAATCTGTGGAGTTGGGTGGATCAACAGGGTGTCGGGATAAACAGTTGGCATCGAATTGAGGGTAGCCAATGATGGAGAGCAGCGATGGATCTTGGCGCTGTTTGTCTGCCACATGCCAAGACGCAAGCATCGGATTATAAATCTGTGGAGTTGGGTGGATCAACAGGGTGTCGGGATAAGCAGTTGGCATCGCTGTGCAGCTTGCCAGATTTGTACACAACTGAGAACATGTACTCCTGTAATCGTACTGCCCAACGGCCGAGTCTTCCTGTAGGGTCCTTAAGTGTTGACAGCCAGCAAAGTGCATGATGGTGTGTGACGACTGCGAACGGACGTCTGTATAAGTACGGACTGAATTTGGCGATGGCCCAGACAAGGGCTAAGCATTCCCGCTCAGTGAGGGAATAATTTTTTTTTTCTTTGCGACAAAAGACGGCAAGCATAGGCTATCACATGGTTGGTACCATTCTGTATCTGAGCGAGTATAGCACCAATGCCATGGTTACTTGCATTGGTGCGAAACTCTGTTCGAGCGGCTGGATCAAATCAGCCAACACAATATAATATATATAATCAGAATGGAGAGGCATCTGACCGAGAGCGGCCTACGCTTAGACCTCAGTTAAATGGAACTGACCGTGTCGTGCTGTAGAAGACGGCTTGGACTCTTATATGCAAACGATATTGTGCTGATGACTGGGAGCATGGTAGAGCTTCAATCCCTTCTGGACATATGCAGGGATGAAGGCAACAGACTCTGGCTGAGATCAAAGTCGGCGGCCATGCACTTTCCATCTGGGGCAGCACAGCAGATACCGCCAGTGCAGCTGCAGGGTGGTAGCGTTGCTTGGGTTGGGTGGGGACCTACAAGTACCTGGAGATAATAGTGTTAGCAACGATCAATTACACGCAGGCACACCAAGAGAAGCTCTGAGCAAAGGCAGCGGCCCAGCATGTTTTTTTGCGTTCCAGGGCGCTATGGGTCTTTATTCAATATGAAGTGGTTTGAGAGCTGTGGAAGCGCATGGCCGCACCAGAGCTGACTTTTGGCAATGCAGTGGTCTGCATTGCCACTTTGACAAGACTGGCACTGGAGACCCGACAGAGAGAGGCTGGTCGGCCGCACTACTTCGGAAGTCCATGGTGGCACACCAAATGTGGCTATACAGGGGGACCTTGGGTGGTCATCCTTCAAGGCTCACAAAGCGGGCGTACGAGCTTTGCCGCAGTGGTCTGCCTTATGGCCGTTGGACCCAGGAAGTGTACAAATACCTGCACCTTCGAAGCGTGAGCACCAAGTGGGTCACTCGAACCCGGCAGCTGGCCGAGAGATATGGGACCCCAACTGTCAGTCTGACCGAGCCACCACAACGGGAAGGGAGGCGAAGTGTCAGAAAAATAGTGAGGAAGGTGGAGCTCACAAGGTGGCACACACAGGCTCTGGCAAAGTCGCCACTGACGACCTACTGTGTGAGCAAGGAGACCATCGGCAAGGAAGCCCTGTATGACAACTCCTTGGGGAACAGCACTTCTCTTTGAGGCGCGTGGCGGGGTGCTTTATTGTGTTCTTTTTTGTGTTTCAGTCAAGACTACTTTTCAGTTATCGGCTCTACACATTGTTCGAGTTTGTCCGGCTCCGATTTGTTACCTTTTGTCTTTAGCATTTAGCGAGGCAGTACTGTCACAGTTAAGTGCACATTGGTGAAGTCACTACTGGGGTATGGCTCATTGCCAATTGAGAGATGCAACCCATCGTCTGTGTGGCATTCTGTAAGCCACTTTATATATCTTTTATTTTTGTGGCGGGCCTTACAGCTTGGAGTAGACGGCTTTGTGTTTCGTAATGCTAATGTCGAGAGATGCAACCCATCATCTGTGTGGCTTTCTGTAAGCCGCTTAATATATTATTCATTTTTGTGGCGGGCCTTACAGCTTGGAGTAGACGGCTTCGTGTTTCGTGGTGGCCAAGCACGGGCGCTGCCCTATGGCCAAGGGCGATGGGCATCGGCATTTCTTGGACGCTACCTCAAAGTTGCTGCCCGCAGCAGCCCTCTCCTCGGCACGCCGGGCGGTGCAGGATTTGTCACTCTGGCTCCACAGCCATCTACCTGGGCTGCACTGCAGGGTATTCTGCCCAAGGCAAGTGCTGCCTTAGCTGCATCCACTAACCACTATAGTAGTATATGACGTGTGCATCTCCCTCATGTTTTATGCTGTGTTTCACACATCCAAAACAGTGCTGCAAAAGCCATGCTACAGTTGATAGAACTATCCGCACGTTTTACATCCTTCCTAGACAACGAACACACAAAAATACTGACACTTATTTGCTGCATGGTTTTGCAGGTTCTGACCTTGGGCCTTTTGGGTCACCGTGTGGTCAGTCCTGGCTGTGTGGGTGGAGACTTGGTGGCCCCTGGGACCAAGCCTGAGAGGGAGCTCTACTTCCGATGGTGGCAGTTAGCCGTGTTTCTCCCTGTGCTGCAGTTTTCTGTGCTTCCAAGCGACTACAATGATGACTTCGAGCTCACAAAGGTCAACATTTTCTAGCTTCTGTTTTCACAGAATTTGATCCAATGTCAGTTTGAAGATTGGGACATGCTCAAAGGGCCAAAAGCAAAATACGTGAAGAGTGACAAGGAACTAGCCACAAGAAACATGAGGGCATTGTGTAGAATATTTTTTTAGGTGCCATTTGAAGGGGCCCTGGAACACTTTGAGAGCATGGTTGGAAAACACTGGTGATCAGTAGTGGATAGGTTTGTGTGAATGCAGTCAAATCCCGCTATAACTAAGTCTGCTACAACAAAATTTTTGCCACATCGAATAATTTGATTCCTCGTCAGCCATTCATAGAAAGCAATGTGAAAAATGTCTCGTCACAACAAATAGTTTTCCTGCATGCTTCTGCTTCAACGGGGAGGGGACGCGGCTTTCGTATCGCGAAAAATGGCAATAAAATCGATTCTTTAAAAATCAAGTTTTCAGTTTTTGGAACCCTTTTACTATATGATTTCAAGATATCTACACTAAAAACCGCGTGGAAGAGCTTCAAAATTTTCATTTCACCCTTATGGTGACCCCGCTACTCACTGTAGTGGATGGTCACCGCGGGTTCAAACTTAGCGAGCCACAGGGCCGCCACTCCGTCACCTACTCACGTGTAGCGCACCGCTCCGCGCGCGCTCAACTGACAAGGCGTTTAGCGCGGCGTGGCAAAACAGACAGGGTACAGAAATACACCGACACTCTATTGCCTTTGGCAGCACCCCAAGCAACAGTACAACGTCCCCTCCCAGGACGCGGAGAGCTAAGGCTCCTGCACGCGTTCACGATAAGGAGAAACCGCGAGCACGTCGCAGCAGGCAATGGCGAGCTTTGACACGCCGGTCGGGAAAAAGTCCCTCGCGGCTATGCTGTGCACTCTCACGATGGCCACTGGGCCTGGTCGCGAGTGTTAGGGCAAACCTCATACACGTTGGCCTACGGCAAGTGCGGCTCAGTGTGGTACGACCACTTCAAGCACTAGGCACCGCTGTGGGCTTAAGGTATGGTACCAAAGCTAGCACTCAAGTAAACACGGCTGCCTAGTTGCCAAGGCCACTCCAGGCAGGCTACAGTCCGGCGATTCCCAAAGAGGATGCGGACTAAGTAAACACGTGCTTACCCGGCGCCGACCACAGAGAAGAGAGAGCCCCTCCCGGCGCGCACGTGACTCGGCCTCCTGAGAACACATGCCATGCCCGCAACGGGAAAGGAATAAGAAATAGAGAGAGCAACGGGAAAAGAATAAGGAGAGCGGCCGTATGGCGGAATGCTTGCGAAATGGTCGTGGGAGCGCCTCAGATCTCCACATCCTCCTCTCCTTAATTCACCCTATATACTGGTCTGCAAAAGCAGCCGGTCGTCGCCCATGCATGCAAAGACGCAATGGGCAACAGCTAGCCTCAGCCTAGCCCTGCAACTTCTGCTAAAAAACCACAACCAACACACTTGAGAAATAAAAAAAAAACTTATATTGGCCTGCTGCAGCGTTACGGGGGGGGGGGGGGGGGAAGGCTCCGTGTGGCCCCACAGCTCTAATAGGCGGTCCACGTCCATGGTGGCGACGTTGTCCGTCGGTGGCCCGTCGCTGGTTGCGGGCGGTGGCAGCCCTGAAAGCAGTGCTGCGAAATGGGGGTCCTCCCCCATTTGCTGTCGGCAAAGGGCCGCCAGGTCGGTGTCCGTGCACTGGCTGAGCGGGGCTGGTTCCGAAGCCTTCCCCGTGGTGGCCATCCCCTTAGCAGCTGCCTTTGTCCGCGCCACGTGCATGGCACCCTTATAGTGGCACTGGTAGTGCACCGTCACATGGCACGTGGCGCAGAATTCCACCGCAGATTCGGTAGGCAGTTGGGCGTCTCCGGCTGCCTTTTCGATGTTCGCCAGTGTGCAGCTCCGGAATGGCCACGGTACACAGTCCAGGGGCAGGTCGCGCCGAATACGCTGCTGCGCCTTCCAAGGTGCATCGCTCGCAAAGTAGCGCGGCATCTCCTGCCCCTCCTGCCGCGCCCACGTGGCCACGCTTCGCCTTGGCGTTTTGGGGACCAGTGGCGTTGCCGAAGGTGTCGGTACCGGCCGCCGGGACGCCCGCTTGGAGGACTTGGGTGGTGCCGAGGTGGTAGGATGGGGCCGCCGAGGTGCCCGCTTTGTGGACTTCCTCCTCTCCCGGCGACTGGATTGTTGGCTGGAGGGCATGTTGCTTCACGACGTACTGCTACCAGAAAGAGAATGGCGCACCGCTGGCAATCTCCGGCTTCTCCCCCTCGTCTGACCGACAACCAGCGCCACCTATGTTTTTGTAGGGGTCGTTGACTTGGTTAACCAGCGCCACCTATGTTTATGTAGGGGTCGTATATCCAGTTCTTTCCCCTCCCCGCACCACACAGACACACACACCTGCACCACCAGAGCGTCCTTGAATGTTCTCACGCGTAACCGGTCGCTACCCCTCCGTAGGCCAAAAAAAGCAAAAAAAGAAAACATCAAGAAAAACATGAACACTCAAACGACAATCAGCAGCAGTAACTGGGCGGAACCGACTTCCTTGCAAGCACTCGCTGTAAAGAAGTTAGCTAACTGAGACTAGACAGTAAAAAGGAGGGTCTTCGGTTGCGGAAATAAGCCCGCCATCCGGCGCGAAATCACTAAGGTCACCGCTTTCTCAGATTATACGGTTGCGTGGTCCGCCGTGCCCGGTGTGCGCGGTTGCTTGCGCGAGGAGTCACTGGGCGCTGGCGCAGGCTCGTCAGACCTCGACGCAAAGGCTTTCAGGTCTGCGATGTGGGAACGGATGAGTTTTCCCGAAAGCGGGTCTTTCAGCAAGTACGCGAGCAGAGTCCAAGCTTTCTCTACTCGGTACAGACCAAGCCACTTAGGAGCGAGTGAAGCTGAGAAACCCTTGCTTGCATCGCAAAGAGCATAGTTGTGCTTCAGGACAACGTCCCCTACCTTAAATGAAAGGTGGCGATGTTTTCGGTCATAGTGGGCCTTTTGCACGGCCCTGGCCGATGCCAAACTCTGCCTCACTCTACTGAGAGCTCGACAAAGCCTGTCCCGAAGTGTTGAAGCGTAAGCAGAACAGCCTGCCGGTTGTTCCTCGTCCCCGTGCTGGCATTGCATGACACAGGTCATCGGATTTTCCAACTTCCTTTTGAAGTTAAGGAAAGCGGGAGAGAAACCAGTAGAGCGACTCTCGGAGGTTTGGATTGCAAACGCGAGTTTACTCAAATGGTCTGCCCAGTCCTTTTGACTTTCGGCAAAGGCAACATCGTTTTAAGCGTACGATTGGTTCGCTCCGTCAGATTGGACTGGGGATGGTAGGGCAAAGTGGTGCAGTGATCTATTCCTAGGGAACAGCACATATCAACAAACACCCGAGCGGTGAAATACGATGCGTTGTCCGTGACCGACCTTTTCGGAAAGCCGAACCGACAAAACCCTTTCTGTAGCCTCCCTGGCACCGCTTGTGCTGTCACTTTCCGTAGTGGAAACAACTCCACCCATTTGGAAAAATGATCAATGACTACCATCAGATTTATGAGCCTCTGCTTACTCCTGGTCAACGGCCCCATTAGATCGCAGGTGGCTACTTGCCACGGACGCTCACTGACGATCGGTTTCATCAAGCTGGGCGGCTTGCCATACCTTGATTTCACCGCTTGACAGACGTGGCAGGAACGGCAATAGGGAAAAATGGAGCGCTTCATGCCAAGCCAAGTCACAACCTTGCTCAATTTCGCAAAAACTTTGGAGCCACTCAGGTGACCGCCCATGGGCTCGTCATGAAAGGCTCGCAAGCAACAGTGCGCCTCCCAGACTTTTGGGCACAACCACCTTAAACGGGTCCATGGACTCCTCCATCGGTGGCTATGTATTTAAGCAGGAGCCCATCATGGTCCAGCAAGTATGTATCCACCGGGGACCCAGCGACACACGCTGGTTCCCGCGCCCCTGCGCCCGCGCACTACCAGAAGCGTCTCGGCGCTCCGTCTCCCTGAGACCGTCGCTCAACTCGCGACAAAACGGATCATTTTGCTGGGCCTTCAGTAACTTTTGTCTGCTGAAAGCGATTCCCATTCTCCCAAAGGGGAGCGTGGTATTGTTCCCACTCAGGACTGCAGCCATCGCCTCCGCTCGTGTTGACGTCATGGGTTCGCTTCCCTTTCGCTCCCCCTCTCGCCCGCTTCGCTGCGCGCTGCTTGTCTGGCTCATGGAAAGGGTTTGCTCGTAGGGGCACTCACCCTTTTCTCCGCTCGGCGGCTCAGCCGCCGTTTCGCCCGCGCCGCTCGCTTGCGCAAAGGCACCGCTAGCAGTTGTCGCACCGGGAACTAGGCTTCCGGTAGGCACTGGGGCACGAGATAGTGCGTCAGCTACCACGTTAGTGCTCCCCTTCCGATACTGCACTGAAAAGTTATAATGCTGTATTAGGAAAGCCCAACGTGCTAGCCTGCCTGCAGGCTCACGGAGCCGCATCAGCCAGCTGAGCGCGCTATGATCTGTTTGCACCACAAATTTCGTCCCATCAATGTAGACATCAAATTTGTGCAGTGCAAACACGATGGCGAGACACTCCCTCTCAGTCATGCAATAATTCCTTCCCGTGGGTATCAACGAGGGGCTAGCAAAGGCCAACGGCTGCAACACATCATTGTATTTCTGTAGGAGAACTGCTCTTAATCCCAGATCGCTTGCGCGAGTCTGGACAACAAACGGTCTGGTCAGGTCGAGGAGCTTGAGCTGCGCCGTCTCCGCCATGGTGCTAGACAGACGGCAAAACGCCTCTTGCCGCTCAGGTCCCATCGCCACTCAGCTGACTTAACCAAGAGTTTGGTCAAGGACGCCTGCACTCAGGCACAAAACGAAATGAACGTCCGGTAAAAATTGGCCATTCCGAGAAAGCTAAAAATTGGCCATTCTGAGAAAGCGGCGCTGGCCGCGTACCTCCTTGGGCGAGGGGAAATCGAAGATTGCTCGAAGTTTCTCCCGATCTGGCTCAA